GGATTGGCGAGAGTACTTACCTTTGTGGTATGGCTTGCATGTGACTGAGTGAGGCCACTACTTAGTCTGAGTTTCAGGTTGATAGGTAGTTGCTTTAGTTGTTCGTCACGTGCTATAGCCATAGGAGTTAGTGTCAATTCCTGCATTTTCTCTGGTAACTTTTTTGTACTTAGGTCAATTTCTACATTTTCTGGGATAATTTTTTGTACTTGGCTTTSTATAAATCTTGGCAAGCTACTTTCTCTACGGGAAGCGCTGCCGAAATTTCTACGAATCCAATGGAGTTTGTCAATTTTTGACTTGTCGGTTCAGGTCATCTTGGTCGATCGATTCAGGATTAGAGCTAGATTCAGCTTGATCCTACAAAGATCATCTTCTGTTATCACTGATAACAGGTCGGTTGCCAATTCGTCCTTTTGCGATTCAACTCCAATTCACTCCTGCCACTCAACCTAAAGGCTTTAGCCTTGAGATTTGAACTGTTCTGTTGTGTTTTCCCTCGGACTTTATTGAATGGCCATCCAACAAAAGTACTGAGTATTTATTTGAGAGTTGCACGAGTGATGCTTGTATGGCTAAAGCAAGGGGTATGAGTACAGAGAATGGTTGAAGTTGACCCCGTGTAGTGCGTGGACTTCTGGTTGAATCTCTGATGTGATTGCAGGTATGATTGTGGTTCGGGCTCTCGATGTGACTGTTTGGGATTACATACATATATGGCTGAGAGGAGCCTCACTGTGACTGTGAGAAGTGATCGTCCTATTTAATCAACCCTCATATATTTATGAGTGCCCTTAATATTTGAGGGGCCTACTGTGATTGTGCGCAAGGGTTAACCGGATTATGTTTTTGAAAGAAAGAGGGGATTCCCTTTTAACCTTTGCTTGTTGAAGATTTTTATGGTTGGACGTTGTAGTCCGTGGCAGCCGTCAAAGTCAAACCCCTTGACTTTCGCCCAGGCCTGGGTAGGACTTATCCCTAGGGCCGCAAGAGACGGCTACCACCACAGGTATGGACCTTTGTACCACCCACTCTGCATAAGGTGCAGAAGAGGGTGTGTGGTTTTCAACCGCGCTTGGCGGTTGTTCAGCGTCGAGAAATTAACCCTCGAGGCGCGTGTCAGCCGACACTTGAGTGTCGAAGGCGACCCTCGAGAGTAACGAGGACCGCATGAGTATGGGTACCACATAGTACGCCATCATTGCGACTGCTTGCGCATGCCTGCATTGCAAGTCGATATGAGTAGGCCCTGCGTCTGCGCGGTTTTATAGTAAGTCTCGCGCGCGACGCCTATCTGGTTTCTGCATTGGAAAGTTATGGGTTGGCTACCGAGGGGCTAAGAGCGTTGTCGCATTGTTTGTGTTGTGTCGTTTCGTGTGTGTGTGTGTGTGTGTGTGTTTATCTTTGTGTTCGTAGAGTGGTGTGTGCGTGGTGTGTGGGATGCGTCCTAGTCGACCGACGACGAATCGCGCTTGGGACCTCAGCCCCCCAGGATGTCGGTTCGCGTGCGGGTCCGATAGGCGTATTACCGCGCGTACCCCCTATGCTACAACGAACGAGAAACGCCCTCGGCTGATCCACCTCTGCGATTGCAACTGATCAGCTTTCGTACAGTGGACTGGTAGCTCGGCGGGGATACACCCACCGAAGGGAGGTGACAGCTCCCGTAAGGTGGAGGTAAGTTGTGCCTCGCGTAGGTCCTATCCTGTCGTAGGGGTCGCGAGAGGTATGGCTGGCACACTCGGCCGGAGCGGCCTGAGGAAGCTCCATTTATGTATTCGCGGCAAGGTTGATCCAACTCCTGCGTGACGCGGCCGAGAGGATCCCGCGTTGCCGCGTGCGGTGTCGGACCGATGGCTCGACAGGTGGCGCCGTTGCCGGGGATAACGGTTGCCTACCGTTGTCCTTGGTGGAACGATATCCGGGTATTGGAAATGAGAGAATAAGCATATGAGAAGCTTCGTTGGGGCTATATGAGTGATCAGTTGATATCTCGACTATTGATAGGAAGCGTCGTAGAATTGAGAGGTCCTTAAAAGTCGGGTCTAGATTCGARGCAGGTTGATGATTCAGGCGGAGTGACCGCTTCTGCTTTATTGAATGGTTTGAACAGAATGGTTGGTAGTCGACAGTGCTGGATAAAAAGCGTGAAGTGAGGGTTCGTCARGCGATGTGGATTGGATTGATRTGACCTGATTTGGATTAATGTGGTATGAGTGACTCGAGGGTGATAAGTATTTTGAGTCTGTGTCCCCCGACTTTGACTAGCATGAGGGTATTTGAGATTGGTAACCSCTCTGATTCGATAGTTGGCAGGCATGGGCGGTGCGTGCGTGGCGTGGCTAAGGTTAAGTATGGCTATTGTGAGAGCTAGCCCTATGATGCATTCTCTTTGACTGCCATCAGAGTCGTCTGGGCGATCTGGAAAGCATCGTAGTCAATTGCATCAGAATGAAGCTAAGGGTGAGTGAGGTAATATTCCTCTGTCAAGAGTTGAAAGTATAGATCCTCTCCTAGGCGTCAGGCTAGAAATCGTCTGTGCGTTTTAAGGGGAAGTAGGTTGAGGACAGTTGAGGGGGTTACTCTGAGTTGTATATTGGACTCGCTTATGGGGGTCTGACCTAGTACGCCTAGGTTACGTCGAATTATGTGGAGTTATATGCTTAAGTAGGGGTCCGTTTCAKGAGTATCTCGTGTGGGTTATTTTATTAGGATGACATTTGGGATCGTATCTGCCCRTAGGAGTTTATATGAATGTCTCCAGTCCAGCATTTGTCTCATGGCTGGCCATTTAGTCTGTATGGCTGGATCGCTTTTCCCTGAGAGGTAGGGATTGTCAGCTTAAATAACGAAAGGTGCATGCGGGACGTTTGTCTGTGATGGACAGAACCCAGACAAAGCAAAGGTAACTCAGGATGCCTTATGCACGGGAAGACCCGCGTATGCTCAGGCCAATTGAGAAAGAGGGAGGGCTTGAAGTGTCTTTACCCAGGCGGGTCAGAGAAGGAGAGTATGTTTCATCATGGTGGGGCGTGGTGATGGGCACAGACATCTTCGTCTGGATCGAGTCTGGGTTCGACGACCAACAGGAAAGCGCAATTGTGAGGGTGACCCTGTACGCTTCAGCCGCCTTTTGGGTCAAGCATGGGATAGAGTTGGCGCTTGGGCATGGAAGCCTGCTTGCTAAGCCTTTGAGGGTAGTCGAGGCCGCGRCAGCAAAGTGGGCGAGGGAAGTGTCTCGTGTCAGGGAAAGGCAAGTACTAACCCGTGTAGAGGTTAAGTGCGCTGGAGAGTTCGCGCCTCCATCTGCTCCGCTGCGAGTCACCTTGCCTGAGTTCCTCATAGAGAAGAGTTTTGGTGGGCAGGCGAAGGTAGAGGCGGCAGCTGAAGCGGCTAGGAGGGTGCGAAACTGGGAGTATGGACGCTATACTTGTGAACTGATATATGGTTTATACTTAGACCCRAAGTTCTCGCCTTCTAGGCAGTGGCTTAAGAATACGGCCAATATGGTTGACATATATGCCGCTTCTCATGATCCGAATGAGGAAAATGTRGACTGGGATGAGCTTCGAGCAGTAGTGGACCGATAGAAAGGGCCCTTGTCGTTCGCTAAAAGTGCGCTCCCTTTGACTTGGGTGCGACCGTGCCTATACCTATTGTCATATTAACCACTACTGCTTGCCAACAGTCAGTGTTGAGGAGTCCTGCTTGTGTATACTATTGTAAGGACTAGGGGTTCCTCGATGTGGACATTAGATAAGGTGATGARAGTTGAGTTCAACCGTTTACCCCTGATTGCTTCAGTCCGCCTAGGACGCTCCCTAATAAGTGGCTGCTTGCTTTGAGTACCAGGCTGCTGTCAGCACCATGGCGGAAGAGAGCGGTTTCGCCAGGATCCTGCTTTGGAGAAACTCGTGCCTCATGAAGGTGTTGCTGCACGAGGTGTTGCGGGAGTCAATGCCCCCAGATCTGCGCGCCCTGCTGTTCCAAGGAAGGAACTTGTCCAGCTTTCTGCGTGATTTTCAGGATTTCTGCCTTATAAAGAAGTGAGACAAGAAGGCGATGTGGTACATGTTTCCTTTGTTCGTTTGCGAAAGCCTAAGCGAGGAGGTGTATGCCTTCAAGTAGAAAGCGGAGACGTGGGATGAGTTGGAGAACTCCCTAAGGCTAAGATTCCCAGAGAATGGAATGAAGGGTCAACGTGGGGAATGCTCTATGCCACCGGTTGCGGGYGCGCCACCACAGGCAGAGCTAAGTGGTTTACAAAGRCAAGTAGGGGCATTGGAAGAAAGGTTAGCACGATTGGAAGAGGCCAGGAAGGGCAAGCGGAAGGTTTTAGAAGATTCCCCAAGTAAGCCGACCGGYCGGGGTGAAGGAGGAGTAGAGAAGGACGTCCAAGAGTCACCCCTCTCGATAGGAGCCCCAAAGAGGCGAGCCGGGGCTCAAGCGAGCGACGAAGGCAAAGGATTCGTCGAAATAAAGAAGGAACAGGATGTTAATATGGCCCAGCCTGTCCGTGCGCCAAATCCAAGGAGGGGGCGCGCTAGCATGGAAGCATCCTCAGCGGCAGGTCGGGAAGGGCAAAAGAGTGGATGGTGGCCAGAGCAATGGGTGACGGTGGTATGCGATCATTGGGGAGAGACTCGCCGTATCCCTCAAGCAAGTAAGGAAAAGGGTATGATGGGAAGAAAAAGRGAGCTTGAGCCTCCCAAACCAACAATGGCTCAGCRAGAGGCGAGGGGTCAGCCCCAGGGAGGTCAGGATACCGGAGAAGGGCAGTGCTCGCAACAAGAGGTAGTCACTCCGCTAGGAATGGAAGATGAAACTGCTCAAAGGGGGCCTTCGGTGGCCGAGCAGACACTATATCGGCGGTGGATGCCGTACGATCAGATGGGTATAGGGCCTGCGATTGGGATAGACTTCTTCAAGGGTTATCATGTCTCCGATTTCCTTGACAAGTTTGAACAGATAGCGTCACACTACAAGTGGAGCGAGGAGCGAATGCTGGAAGAGGTCATGGGGTTTATCCATATAGGGTTGAGGGATGAAGTTGATAGCTTGGTTATTAGAGCAAGGCCATCATGGGGGGAATTTTGTGATGACATGAGGCATAAGTACTGGTTAGGTGAGGAGCACCCGACCAATAATGATCCTGAGATGGTACCCAGGCCTCTGGTAACCCAACCCAGCTCGGGAGGCCATTACAACTACCGTCGCAGCAAGTGCCGCAAGGCGGCAGGGCAAACGCAGAAGGTCGAAGACAGGTCGCTGGAAGAGGCCGTGGACATGGCAGGCGTGGCTACGCGGGCCGTGGAGTTGGTGGACGAGGCGATGGAGGTCGCGGAAATGACAGGCAAGGCACCGAAGGTCGCGATGGGAGTCAGCGAAACCATAAGTGGGGCTCAAAGAAGAAAGGGGCTTGATGGTGCCGAATAAGACGGTCGTTAGAGTGAGCCRGGTGATCAAGGGTGCGGAGGGGGTAGATGAGATGACTAGGGTAGAGAAAGTATAGTAAGATGTAATGGGGACTCACTCTAACCCCTGGGTTGGGAAGTTTCTGTCAGTCGCCTGCCCTGGATCCTTGGATTCGTGTTGGTAAAGTCTAGTTGTACATGTATTGATATAAAAATCGGAGTGGCAGGTTAACCGTTGCGTGACCCTAACCCCGTAGTAGTTGGTAAAGGTTAGTTGCATATTATGTGAGTCGGGACATATATATACCTTGATGTGTGTATGTGTATGGGTTAGATCCGGGGAAGGGCTTCGCAATAATGGTCCGGTAAAGTGAATTAAGTTGCGGATAGCTCARCCATATAGGTGAAACCAGGGGGCAAATCARTGAGTAAGGACTGGTTCGCCTATACGTCAGTGGGATCAAAGCTTCTTGTATATAGGGACTGAGCTAGATATGTGCATATCTAGGTGTAGCCATGACCACCTTGTCCGTCTGTACATAGGCAGAGTATAGTATTGGACGAATCACTTGTTTTTTTTTTTTTTTTGATTTAGGTGGTTGCGTCCAAATGTGTGATATGGTGGTGTGTTGGGATAGATTCGCGTGCTTTGAGCTCTGTGTGTGTTTGGGTATATTCCGAGATACTTGTGCGTTCGGGACATGGGTTACTCAGCGGAGTGGGACGTGAGGGCTGGRTACCTATGTTGTTTTTGAGAGAGACTTTTTTATCCTGGGTATATATTGARTGAGACCATATGAGGCTTGGTTTTTGTSACGATCATTATCACTCTCACTTGTGTGGTTTTATCCTGATGAATGTCGGCTTTGTGTGAAAGATGTGTGGATGTGTGACATGTGAAGCTGTCTGCTCCTCGGTATACTCGTGCGCCCTGCCCACGGGCAGTTGAYAGGGCARAGTATAAGGGSAGGAAGCGCAGCCTGTTTGTGAAAAAGTGTGAGGATTTTTAGAAGATTTATGAGTCCTCGAGACTCGAATGCTTTACCATGCCGGTTGTTGATTGTCTAAGTTGTGACGAGGACCCATAAGATGGTCTCTCAATGATGTTTTGTTCTATGAAGAGGCCCCTTGATTTTGGAAAGGGGGATGTTGTGCGCTATGGTGAGACCCCTCGTGATTTTTTGGAAGGGGGGCTGTTTTGTTTTGTGGTGAGACCCCTCGTGATTTTTGGAAGAGGGGGTGTTGTGTTCTATGATGAGAGCCCTTGAATTTTTGGAAGAGGGGATGGTTTTGTTGTCGAAAGACTCTCCCTCAAAAGTGAGTAAAACTGATTTATGGCATGGTAAGTTGTCTGATGSGTGATAAAGTCTGGCGAAAAGGGTCACTTTTGYTTGGAATGCTTGAGAAGGTCGCAATGAGTGCAGGGCGAGAGATATCTCAKGATGGGTGGCTGCTGACTCTGATCAAGTCARAGGTCACAGCCTGGTGGACCTAGCGGTGATTTTGTTTGTGAGCGAGCGAAGGATGTCATGCCTATTGTGGGAGGGCTGGTAAATACCTTCGGACCCCTGCKTATCACGCAGTGGGCCTGTGATTTTGTTTTGCGACGCTCCGTCTAACCACTTGTGCTAGTTCTGGGACATATTGAGGACGACCAAGCTAACGGTAAAAAGTTAGTACCTCTAGGGCGTAACCCCATTGGATGGCTGCTAGCCGGCGCAACCTGGCTACGGGACCGCGGGGTAAGAGTTTAAGGGGAGTTACCTGCCCCAGTGAAATTACTCTGTGGGATAATGAAGGTTGAGATTTTTTAGGGAATCCTGATTGAATGCTTATCAAGAAAAAACCTATCGTTGCGTAACCAACGAGGGTACAGTCGTTAAATAACAATGAGGTGGGTCATAGTCCTGGTCTGATCAGCCAGGCTATGCTAGGCCAAGATGGAGACCTAGCCTCTCTGTACTAGACTGCAGAAAGAGCTGAGTGGATATTAAGTATACATGTATACGTATGTGTATTTGATTGCGAGAGATTTTCTGAGAAGGAARGCCGGAGTGCCTTCAAAGGTCTCGRTTAAGGCCCKCGCCCCTAGTYTTGGCCAGGACTAGGGACACCCAACGAGAAGWCRAAGGTTGTCTAGGACCGGGGAGAGGACAATTSGGAAGGCCTTTGGAACTTATGTTGTCGGCGTCCTAATTTCTGGGCGGTGAGAGGCCCGGGTTAGAAACCTGGCAGCATAGAGTTGTGAAGCCATGGTTTGATGGAGGCCTCTACCCTGTGTTTGTCGGCTAATGGGATTGGCTCCTTTTTCGTCAGCATTTGAAGTGTGGATGAATTTATAGCTTTTGATTTGGCGAAGCGACGGGGACGTCGCTTAATATGGTACGGTAAGTTCTCGGTGCGAGTACCCTTACAAGGGTACCCGCCCTGGTTTTTGTAAGTGACAGAAATAGTTGGTTCAAAGTTTAAGTATACCGCGCTCGGCGCGGCTGTATCTGTGATTACGTTGACTGGATGGCTGACTAGAGTAAAGAGTGTGTGAGCGCACAGGTTTGAGGCGTGCGTGATTCTGTTCTATCTTTGATTATGAAACTGGCGCGGACGCCGATCAGTTTATTTTTAATTTTTCCTTTACTTTTATTTTTGTTTATTCTTGATTAGACTGAGATTAAGGATAATTTTTTTCCTTGGCCGGTATGTCTGATTGAGTTACGCATGCGTGCGGAAAACGACCCCGACGACGGCATCGGCAACGGCGGCGCGACTTCGTGCAGTGAGCGGGGGTGTCGTAGGATGGTGCGCGGGGCAATTATGGCACGGTATAAGCAAGCCGGCGGAGGCATTGGGAGCCGCGCTGCCGAGTTGTTGGCCCAGAGGGCCGCGCCGCACTGCCTTGTATGGTACTCTACGGGCGCTGGTCTCAGGCTTGGGCGTAGCCCTATAGGTTACGACAGCGGATTGTTACTAAGGAGGTTCAGGGATSGAGGTGGAGCGRCGACGGCGCGGGGATATTAGAGTAGTGCAAAGGGGCGGAGGGGTTGAGAGCCGACGGGGCTGTTCCYCCTGGTTTTACAGYCGGCGACGCTCRGACGGTGCTGGCACTATCTTTTTCCCTGTTGATACGTCTTAATGATTAAGAATTMTAATAAGTCTATTTATTTATTSTGTTACTATTATTGTTTTACTTTTTGTTATTGTTTCGACGCCCCGTCGGTTTGGGTGCAGTGTCGGGCTTAGTGGCCGCCGCGGGAGTCAAGGACCTTGANCTATTATTGTTTTACTTTTTGTTATTGTTTCGACGCCCCGTCGGTTTGGGTGCAGTGTCGGGCTTAGTGGCCGCCGCGGGAGTCAAGGACCTTGATTGGACAGGCCCGTTCGGGTTTCAGCATGTTCAGAAGGCCGGCAAAATTCCCCTATCTTGTCGTCGTGAAAGGTCGGGCCGAGGTGTCCGACGTGCATGCGAGTCGGTGAGTAATTAGCCTGTGGGGCGAAAGAAACCTGAGTGGCGGGAACCCTCTGCGAGTGCACTAGTCTGCCAACCACGATTTGTTGTGTGAGGTTTGGGTGTGAGCATGCCTCGGGGCTTTCCTCCATGTCGAACTTCAAAGTTCTCATTTGAATATCTGCTACTACCACCGGGATCTGCACCAGGCCGCCTAGGCCCGTGCTCGGGTTGAATAACAAAGCCAGGCCTTGATCCCGCTTTGGTTGCCCATACGGGGTCTTGCCGTTGGGGGCCTGGGGCGGTGGCACAGGGTCCATCGGAGGGCCAAGTCCTTCGGGACATCTGTTGAAATCGGAATGATACAGAGGAGACTGGAGCGTCCCCGCGCGAGGTTGACAAGTATAAAGCGGGAGGGGCGCTCTGTCGTGTGTTCCTCTCGTCCTTTGTCCTCATAGGCTCGTCGGATCCGAGCTCTGTATCGGGCTGTCGGGTAGCCGGTCCCTTCCGAAATTTCCTTCACAGTAGCGGGAGCTGTTGAGCAGACCATTAGCCGCTGCGAAATCGGTAGCTGCAGAGTCTGCTAACTCTGGGAGCTGTGCTAGCTAAGAAGGGAGAAGGAACCTGGGCGTAATTCGGGTCTGGTACCCTCAGAAGTAGACAAATGGAGCAAGTAGGGGGCAGGACGCTACGGCAGGAGAGACGCAAGGCAGGAGCGACGGGCTAGCAGCGCAGAAGGCTACGGGAAGAAGGCTGAGAGAGTTGAATGAACCCGGGCGCGATGTTGCGCTGGGTGCTTTCAACGGTGGAGATGGCTACGGGAAGGGAGGCCATCGGGAGAAAGACAACGCCCCTAGATCTGAGGTAGGGCGCGAMAGTGGAGGAACGGGTAAGTGAGGGGGATGAACCCGGTGCGAATCCGGGCCAGATACGTGCCCGAGAGAGATGGCGGGGTGACGAGCCAGGTGCAA